TCATTCTTCTGTAGTTAATGATGCATCTTTTGCATCTTCTGAAGGCAAAAGAAAAGAAAGAGTAAAAAGCCAAAGTGCTAAGATTCCTGTCTTATTTTTAGAGACTTGATTTAAAAATACGGTCTGACATAAGATGAAAAAGGAAGAAAAGTTTTTGTTCTTCTTCAATCTTTTTTTAAAACTTATTTTTTAAAACTGTGACTTTTCAGGAAAACCCTTTTTTATCTCCGCCCCCCCCCAGATAACAGGACCATTCCAAACTCTTTTCTTTCTTTCTTTTTCTTTTTGGAGGAGGACTACAAATAGAAATAAATCTAGCAAGCTCCCTATGTTTCAAGAAGGCTAAAAGTTAGTGCAGTTTTATCACCAGTTCACATTTTTCAGTAAGGTGGTGATTTGACTTGCATTTTTAGCTTTACTGGTCAAAACATATCCTTTTCTCCCTGAAAACCACTGCTGAAATTGAGTAAATTCTCCCTTTTTTAGTTTCTAAACAATTTTCAACTTGGGTTCAGCTGGTGGTCATTGCAGTGGGCCTCTCATTTCCTTTCATGCTGTGTGTGGCCTGTCATTTCTCGGTGGTTTTGATGTGGTTCATCCTTGTGAGCCACAGGAATTCTACCCGGAGTTCGTTTACCTACTAGGAAAGAAGGCGCTGGCTGCTGCCCATTTGCCTGGCTTTGCATGGAGTAGAAAGAGGGAAGGTGTTTTTTTTTTCCGTCTTTTTTGAGACAGGGTTTCCCTGTAACCCAGCTCGCTATGTAGACCAGGCTGGCCTTGAACTCACAGAGATCTGCCTGCCTCTGCTTCCTGGGTGCTGGGACTAAAGGTGTGGGCCACCACACCTGGCTCAAAAGAGGGGAGTTTTTAATCTGGTAAACCATGAGCTCCTGACTTGAAGTGTGTTAAAGTCACATTAAAGTTTTGTGATTTGAGAAGTTAGCTTTGGTGTACAGGCAGGGGAGAGTGGAACTAAAAGGAGACTCCCTTTTAGTCATCTGTCTATCTGTCCATCTGTCCTTGCATGCATGCATCCATCTATCCATGCACCCACCCATCCATCCATCCACCCATCCATCCATCCATCCATCCATCCATCCATCCATCCATCCTATCTGTCTCTTACCTGTCTACCCATTTACTCATTCAGCCCTATGAGGTCATTATACAAATATAACTTTCCCCACCCCCTTTTTCTAGTGAGCTACATAAAATAGAATCTAACAGAGTCCCTAACACAGACAAAGTCAACTGAACAACTACCCTTGGAAGACAGAGCCTGATTCTTTTCCTATCTGAAGATAACCTCATTTTATTACGTTTAGGAAATAAGGAAGAACTAAGTGAACTAGAGACAATTTTCAGGCTTATCATATAAAATTGAGACCAAATTTGATCGTTCTTAGGTTTCACAGAGGTGAGGAATAGTTGTGTGTGTGCATGTGTGTGTGTGTATGTGTGTTTTATGTGTAACTACAAAGCAGCCAAAAAGCCTAATGCTTAATTTGAAATATGAGCTGCTTTGAAACCAGTTACTTGCTTGTGGGATAGATTGGCTGGATTGGACCAAATCAGCTACGCAGGAATGAGACCGTTTTTTCCTACACCATTTCACTTCCTGCCTTTTCCTCTCACTGGGCCTTGGCATTGGGAAGTTCTTGCTCATTTCTTGTTTTACCTACAGCAGAGTGAATGCCTACCCGGGGGACTAAGGGGGTTTGCTGAATTGCACCTTGCCCTGGGGGAAAACATGGCGTTCTCTCTGGTGCAAACACTCTAGAAGTGGATTTCTGTCCCCTGTCTTTGTAGAGGAAAAGGTTCCCTCTGTACCTCATTGTATGACTCCAGCAGCCAAGAAAGTCTCCAAGAGTATCTGATTTAGTCCATGGCCAGAGGAAGAGTAGAAAAGACTTTCCCTTGTATTTAATGTTTTCAAAGGCCTGGGCTGGAAATGAGGAACACAGAAAAACAGTGGTCTTGCCAGGCACGGTGGCATGCCTTTAATCCCAGCACTTGGGAGGCAGAGGCAGGCAGATCTTTGTGAGCTCGAGGCCAGCCTGGTCTACATAGCAAGTTCTAGAACTGCTTGGGCTACAAGGAGACCCTGTCTCAACAAGACAAAAAACAAAAAATACCCCACAAAAACCCCCAAACAAACAAACTAGTGGTCTTGAACATTCTTCATAGAAGGAAAAAATCCTCTTCTCACAGTTCATATATGGAAACAGGCATGATAAGGCCTGTTCTTTAAGAACAGGGATGCCATTGATATATATGATTTTAACTTCTTAGATACACTATACAAATTCCTTGATTGTTTGGGTTGTTTACAGTTAAAAGAGTTAATTTAGATCGTGAGACAGCCAATGGACAGGGCTGGCCATGGAGCTTAGTTGGTAGAGTACTTGCCTAGCATACATGAAACCATGGGTTCAGTCCTGAACACCACATAAACCAGGTACGGTAGAGCATGCTGTTATCCCAGCACTCAGGAGGCGGAGGCATCTTCATACCAAATTTGAGGCCCTGTCTCAAAACAAAATAAGCAAAAAGAAGATCAGTTTGGTCATTTCACAGCCTCCCAGTCTCAATCTCCTGCCTCTGACTTCTGATTGGGGCCAGTACTTTTTTTTTTTTTAATTTTTTTTAGACATTTTTAAAGATTTATTTTGTTATTATTATTTTTTAACACATTTAAAACATTTGTTGATTTTTATTTTGTGTTTGTGCTTTTTAAGGCTAGGAATCACATCTCTTTACTGTGTATCTATACCTTGCTTATGGGGTGTGCTTAGTCCCTTGTTAATAAGAAACTGTTGTCAGTTACACAAATACCATGAGATTAAAGTCTTTAAAGACTCAATGAATAAGACTTAAATCTTTTCTTTAGTTTATAGTTGATGTACAGGGCTATTACGTTTGAGGGCTGATGTTAAAGAAGAAGTATATTTCTTCTCTGTGGGCAGAAAGGGTAAGATAGGAAACTATGTGTAAAATCAGAAAAAACAGCTTGCTGAGTTGAAAGCCACAAGTGTGCCCCTGGTGGCAGAGGCCAGGCTGGCAATGCAAGGCCGTATTGAATTTGCTGAATTTTTTGGCTAACAGCTGGAAATCTCATTGTTCTGGTTAGCTTCATGTCTGACAATGAAGCTAATGCATTGTCTCAAGTTAAAGTTTTCATTAAAATTTCTGTCCTGTGCTTGAGAGAGATCAGAGGATACTGAAGGAAGCCATGGGGTTGTTTTGTTTTGAGTTGTGCTGTCCAGTAAACTGGTCATTAGATACAGTGTGACCATTTAAGTTAAAAACATTAAAACTGAAAAATCAGATCTTTAATTTCAGGAGCCTCATGGAAGATGTTCAATGGTCCTATGTATCTTGTGGTTACCCTATTTGGTAGAGCTGGTTTAGAGGTCTAAATTTTCTTTTAAGAAGTCTGGGCCAGGGACTGGAGAGATGGCACAACAGAACACTTGCTGTTCTTCCAGAGGACCTGGGTTCGAGTCCCAGCACCTACATGGTGGCTAACAACCATCCATAACTCCAGTTCCAGGGGATCCAATATCCTCTTCAGGCCTCTGTGGGCACTGCATGCATATGGTGCACTTACATACATCTAAGCAAACATACACATAAAACAAGAATAATAAATAAAATATTAAAAAAAGAAGTCTGGGCCAGAGAAGTGGCCCAGCAGGTAAAGGCATTTGCCATCAAACCTGATGACTTGAGTTCCATCCCTAGAACCCACATGGTAGAAGGATAGAACTAACTCCTGAAAGTTGTCCTCTGACTTCTTCCTATGCACTGTGGCATGTGCACCACCTCCATGCACACACTCACATACAATAAATAAATAAAAATATAATAAACATTTAAAAGTCATAATTGATTATTGTCAACTTCTGGCATAGGAAGAAAGACCAAATGATGCAGAAGCCATTTCTTTGTTTTAATCTATAAAATCTAAACCCAATAAAGAAGGTTAGAATGATTGGTGAAAAACTGTAAATAAAGCTCCGCTGTGGTGACTCATCATGACAAATAATATCTGGATAAAATCCTTGAGTGAATTCTTTTACTTCACAAACTGTTGGGGTTCGTAGTCAGGAATGAATGCATCACACAAGCCCTTGGCTGATACACCACCGATGCCTAGCAATGTTCATCTCAGTAAGAGAAATTGACTAATTTGAGAAAACAAGGTGGAAAACTGAGGTGGGCACCATCTTGTTTGCAGTCAGTGAGTAGCCAAGTCATCACTTAGCCGGCATCCACTGAGCACATTCTCTGTACCTGGTGCTGAGCTAAACACTGAGTTTATAGACATAAATAAGACATGACTCCTGCCTTCACAGAACGCAGACCATGGAATAGAAAACAGACATAATTATAATATGATTAAGTAAGGGTAATATAGAATTATGACTATAGTGAGTTGGGGCTGTGGCTCAGTTAGTAGAGAGCTTGCTTAGCAAAACCTGGGTTCCAACCCCAACACTGGCATAACCCAGGCTCACACTTGTAGTCCCAGAACTCAGGAGGTGAGGCAGGAGGATCAGAAGTTCAAGGTTATCCTTGGTTACATATCATGGCTACAGAGTGAGTTCAAGCCATCCTGGGCTCTATGAGACCTTGTCCTGAAAAATAAAAAACCCCAAGCCCAAACCCAGCAAACAAACAAACAAACAAGCAGGAGTAACTAGATATATAAAGGCATGGCATGTAAATAAAAACAAATACTTCTGTTTTGAATTTAAATGAATTTATATTTAGTTTTTACAGGGGCATTTGTCTCTGCTACTTGTAAGAACCAGCAATTTGACACCTCTATTATAAACCAGTGTATTCTATAGATGCTGGGATTGCTGAGGGAGCAGCGCTTTTGTTTACTGGGTTTGGGGAGTTCTTTGGTAGGGGTCTGTGGAGTGAACTTGCCTGCCCAGTGCACTGGGTGTTTGTTGAGTGTGCCCAGTCATGGTCTCTCCCTGTCTCTCCAGCTCTCTGTGCCATTGTGGCCACCATCTGGTTCCCTGTGTGCGCCCACCGTGAGACCACCATCGTGAGCTTTGGCTACTCGCTGTATGCAGGCTGGATCGGTGCTGTGCTGTGCCTTGTGGGTGGCTGTGTCATCGCCTGCTGCGCCGGAGATGCCCAGTCATTTGGTGAAAACCGTTTCTACTACTCTTCCGGCTCCAGCTCACCAACGCATGCCAAGAGTGCCCACGTATAAGAGGGCTGCTAGGCTGCCCACCGAGGTGCTGTAGGTGCTGGGCCTGGGGCCCTGGGTTTGCTCGCCACTTCTCTGTCAGGCACTAAAGCCAAAGGTCTAGAAAGCACCCTGCCTGGCATTTTACAGTCTTAACACCCTTCCACCCCACCACTTTTGGTTACCTTAAAAGAAATCTCTAGTTCAGATAATGCCCACACAGTTATCTCACGGTGTTGCCCGCTGTTAGCTCTTTTCTTGGGCATTTCATTGTTTATTAAAAAAATATTTTGTTTCTCTCTTAAATTTTAAATGTCTTGGGAACATTGCTGACTTGGGTGTGGATCCAGAGAGAAATAAAAGACACTTTTCAAACTGTTGCAGCTGAGAATGGGGGCCTCATAAAGACATGCCTTTGTTTTCTCTTTCCTCTTCAGCTCCAAGGTCACTTACAAATAAGAGATAGAAAATGACAGAACAGGGCACAAGAGGTGGGAGGCTTTGGAACTTTCTCTTCATGGGAAAGCTTCCCTTTTAAAAGTTGGGGTGGGGATTGTTTTTAGTTTGTGATTTTACACTTATCTGTTACACACATTTTTCAAGATTGATCATTTTTATAACCATGGGTTTCCTGAAAGTTTCTGTTCACCAGTATGAAGGAAATGAACTGAATAGACTTTAATTATACAACAGGCAATTGTATGAGGATTATAACTTTAACTGACATTCCACAACACATTTTGATTTCCGGGTTTGGATGATGTAGTTTTTAGTTGCATGTGCTTCAAATTAACACATTTTCAAAAGTTCCCCCCCCTTCTATCTCTGTTTCCATTCTGTTAGCTATCTTGAAATGATGTTTAACATAAATTGTACTATTGAATTTGGCTTCACGGGTGTGAATGCTGATGGTGGATCAGTATCTGAGACCCTGGACTCTCCAAACACGATTGATTGGTGCATTGTGTTCAGGTAAAATCTGTGCAATAAAATAACAAACTGTCTGCAAAACTGGCCTTCAGTCTTCTGTTCAGTTCAGAGTATCGTCTGATTAAAAAAATAAAAAAAACCCTTCATTAATCTTGTTATAGGGAACCTGATCAGTGAACTAAGAACAAATCATTTTGGCTTGTGGAGATGGCTCAGTCAATAAAGTGCTTACTGCTCAAACATGAGGACCCAAGTTCGATGCCCAACACCCATGTAAAAAGATGGTAATCCCAGGGCTGGTGTGTGTGTGTGTTGGGGGGCAGTTCAGGAGGATCCCCAGGGAGTTTGGACAGTTGGTGACCTCTAGGTTTAGTGAGAAAACCTGTTTCAAAAAAAATCAGTGGAGGGCAGTTGAGGAAGACCCCTGATGTTGATCTGGGCTTCTACACACATATGTGCACATATACCTACATACATGTATGCACATACAAGAACAAATCATTCTCTGTTGCCCTAACTAGTCAATAAGTTATATTTTATTTATTACATCATGGCGGTAATGTGTGATCATAAAAATATAACCTGGTCATTCCTTAGGTTTCTTCAGTGTGAGTTTCTTGCTCCTATGTCATGGGTAAATGAGTAGCAACGGAAAACCAAGTTCTAACAATGATGCAACTCTACTCCTGTATCTCCTTTGAACACTTGATTAAAGGACTGTTTAAATCTAAAGAGAGAATTAAATAAACTCATTCTATTTGATCCTTAGTTATAATACCCAGATGTGTTTTGTCCAAATAGATTTTGTAGATGTTTGGAAAGTTTGAACAAAGACACAATTAATTTATTTTTATTTTTCTATTTATAAACTCAAGTTATGGGTTTACTCTAAGAGAACAGATTACAATTTTTGGCAGTTTTTTTTTTCAAAAACCCCACTAATTCTAGGGTTGGGCGATGCCTCAGTGGGTGAAACACTTGCCATGCAAACCTGAAGACCTGAATTCCAAGTCTCCAAACATAAAAGCCATACATAGTAGCACTGTAATCCTAGGGGTCCCTACTAGGAGATGGGGGCAGAGACAGGGTAATTGCCAGACACTCATGGGCCAGCTGCAGGAGTGGACAGGAGAGACCCTGTCTCAAAACACAAGGTTGGGGGCTCATCCTCTGAACCCCCAAGTGCACTATAGCACATGAGCTAGCACACACATGAACACACACACACATACACATAGTATGAAGATTTAAAGTGCTAATTTTATTAGCTAGTGCAGTATAATCGTATGGCTGGGAAGCATTCCCTCTTTGGAAACACCCATTGGGCAAGTCATGCCCAAATAACCTGATACAAACTATTTTCCTAAGTTATTTATTTTTTAAACATTTTATTTATTTTTTTTTATTTTATGTGTATGAGTATATTGCCTGCATGTATGTGAGTGTACCCATGCCGTGCAATGCCAGTGCCGTACAGGTCAGAAGAGGGCTTTGGATTCCCCTGGAACTGGAGTTAAGGAGGGTTCATAGCCACTATGTGGGTGCTGGGAATCGAACCTGGGTCCTCTGCAAGAGCAATCAGTGCTCTTAACTGCTGAGCCATCTCTCCAGCCCCTCCTAAGTTATTTATACAGAAAAGACCATGTTCACGTTGATAAAAGTATTTGCTTTGTTATGATACAGTTTTTGTAAGGTTATAAGTCATGTGGCTCTATCAGAGGATGCCCTCTACCTCACTAGCCTTGTCAGGCATTATATAAACTATGGAGCAAACAGCCTGTGGGAGGCAAGTGAAGCTCTGAGGCCTCTTGTCTCTTCAACCAATCAGAAACATTGTCACATACGGTGTTCTCTTTCTTGGGGCCTTGCTGTTTTTACTCACCTGGATTTTGCTCACCCTCAGGAAGCGGTGTGTGACCTCTACCTAGATTTCCTTGAAGCAGGAGAGGGGAGACTTCAAAGTTCTCGCTGATGTTGTCTGACGAATTAGGACTCATTTTATAGGTCATGATTAAAGTGTTAGGGTTTGTTATCAATTTATGATAGGAAGCTAGAGACACTGTAGGACACTGTCAGGCATCTGTGAGCCATGTCTATAATCTGGTTTTCTAATAGCCACATTACAAAATGTGCTAAAAGTAAACAAGTGAAATGAATTTTGTATGAAAATCATCTATCCAAAATATCCCCATTTCAGTATCTGTGCAGCTCACTGTTCTTTTTGTATTAAGATTTTGGATTCTAGTCTGTTTTGTATTAACAGCACATCTCAGTTTGGGTTAGCCACATTGGAGGAGCTCAATAGCTACAGTTAGAAGACATTGGCTTGATTAGCCTAGCTGTAAAATACTGGGTCCTATCTCACAATTCTAAGGATTTTGATCTTATTTTTTTCTGCTCTCATTAGAGTTCTATTTGGCAAATACAATTTATTGAACAATTATAACCAATCTTCATTCAAGTGAAGACAGTGACCCCCAATCAAATGTAAAATGGCAGCCCCAACATACTTTCTGCCTAAACAACAGAGAACAGGGAGCCCATGCTCTTGAGACTTGCTCCTGTCAGGAACTTTCCACTTTTAATCCTCCCCACAATCCTTGTTTCATGGCTGAGAAGATGAGAGTGGAAAGATTATGTTGCTTATGAAGGTCAGGTACCCACTGTACAGAACCAAAAGGGATTTAAGTCTATTGAAACCTAAAGCCTTCATTCACCCCCTGAAGACCTTATCACTTTAGGGGATCAGGCATTTTCTTCTTCCATAGACACCCGCTCAGTAAATCTGTGTCCAGGGCCAAGCGCCTGCATTTGGGTATACGCCTGTCACTCGGATGGGATAGTCTCTATACCACACTTTGAGAAACAGTGAGTTGGAAACAGGTCTTTCTCACGTTTTTTCTGGAGTGCTGCTAGTACTCTCCCTTGTGCCCTCTTGGATGGTCATTGGTGACTGGGTGATTTGGAGAGTGAGACTGTCATTTCTTCAACCTCTTCTGAAGAGGGGATCTTTGGATTGAAGATGTTCATGCTTTCTAAGAACTCGATAGAAAGCAAATTAGAGAAAGGAATGTTTCAGGGGATGAGCTGAATCTAGAGATGCCAGTGACAACCTTAGCAAATAAAAGGAGAAAATTGTATGCTTGAAGAACACAAGTTACATCTTCGTGCTGAATTGGTGGCTTGGTCTAACAATAGAACAAGATCTGGTTGTGTCTTGTCCTGCCTCTTTTCTTTCTTTAATGAAAAATGATTTGCGTGTCAGTGTTTCTCTATACAATGTACACAATGTGTGCTGCAGCATTTTAAATGTTTGGCAGGACATTTGTGCTCATGACATCACATGCTGGGAGGACAGGACGGCCACTGTGGAACTGGCTGTGGGGAGGGGCAGCATCAGTGCAGCCTTTGAGATGGCCCCACAAAAGAGTGTGGGACAGCCAGATGTGCGGCTTCATGGAGACTGGACCAGGATTGTGGGGGTAACGTTGGCACATGCTGCTCGTGGCTTGAATAGCAGCTCTTGAGGAATTGATACCTCTTTAGCTCATGCAGCATCTCAGAGCTTGGGCTTTGTGGCCATGTCTGGGGGAGGGAGTGGAGATGAGGGGACTTGTCACTGCTTCATGATGGCCCATTGTTGAAAAGGAAAATGTGGAAATGTGAAGGCATTCCTAGAGGGCTGTGTGAAGCAAGCACCACATCCAGAAACTCTTCCAACTAGCAATGCACCTGATTGTCACAGCCAGGGCTTTGCTGTAATTAAAACGGTTTCTATTCACTTTTTCTTATGCTGAGTTATTTGTAGCTCCCTGGGATCCTGTTAAAATGCAGATTCTGATCCAGTGGGTGTGGGAGACTGAGAGTCTGCATGTCTTCTTTTTTTTAATAGCATGAAATTTGTTTTTAGATTGTGTGTGTGTGTGTGTGTGTGTGTGTGTGTATCAGAGGACAACTTGAAGAAGTCAGTTCTCTCTCTCTCTCTCTTTGTACCATATGGATCCTGGGGCTGGAACTCAGGTCATCAGGCTTGGCAGCAAACACCTTTACCCACTGAGCCATCTCACCAGCCCAAATTCTGCATTACTAACAGACTTTAAGAATGTCCTGGTGCTGCTGGTCTAGCCTCACCCTGTGGGCAACCATCCTCTGTAAGCTGCACCCTTATGCATGTATGTGAGTGATGCCTCTTGTGCAAGTTACTAGGGATCCTTCTGTGCCTTTCTATGGAATTCCGGAGCTTCTCTGGCCAATAATTCAACCGCAGAATCATTCATTTGACCTCAGTACTTTTGTTTCTCATCAAAACATTAGGCACCCAGTGAGATGTGGGGCCAACTCTTACAGGTGAGCTGGCTCATGAAAGTTATTTAGATTTCCAGGAATTTTGTGAGCCAGTTGATGTCACTTAGGTAACTTGCATACAGCTGAACTGGAGGATTTATAGCAAACACTGTAAATCAGGGACTTCCTGCTGGCTCGGACATTGTAGGTGGTTGTTAAACACCAGCTCCCCTCACCCAGCTCTTGGAGAATCATGCATGAGGCAGCGCACTGTACCTTGATTCTGAAAGATGGAGGTGGGGAGAGCAGGGAGTCGTGGGGAAACTGAGGAAAAAATTGCCAACTTGAAGCTGTGTGTGCCCTGGATCCTGCGATGAGTCTGAAGGCCCCAGTGTCCCAGAGGAAGGACAATTTTTCCAGCTTGACTCCTAGTCTCAGAGAACAGGCAGTAAAACTCACAAATCAAATACCAGGGCAAATAGGCTGGTGCTTAGAGCCATCCTGTCCTCTTTTGAGTCTATAATTGTATTTGTTGATCCCATAAATCTGGTGTCTAGATGTTTCTTGAGAGATTTATTTATTTATTTTTGAACAATAAATGTTAATTTTATTCTGTGCTTTATGTTACTGCCAAGTTCTTTGCCATTGCCCAGGAAAATACAACTCGAATGCATGGTCTCATCTGATACATTCCAAATTAGAAAGAAGACATTCTAATATGTTTTCAGAGTAACAAAACTCCTAACCTGGACAAACAGTAATAGATGCATTATTAATGGAATCTGTATACGAAAAAACCCTGACCATTATGAACTTTTATTGTTGTAT